CAGAATCACTGCTCACACTTAGGCCCTTGGACCCAGAGCCTGGACTGCTAACCAGTCCACTCTGTTGTCTCTCTGAGGAAGGACCAAGTGGCCAGCTTCAGAAACTATGACTGAACAGAGCTCTGCTGGACTTTAAGGTCCTATGGATTCTACCAGTATGAAAGAGGGAAAAATAAAAAATAATAGTCAAGTTTCTGACTTAGGTAGCTGTGGGTATTGTTGGTTCCAGTGCTCAGGTAAGGAGAACATCAGAATGAGTAGATTTAGGTCAGGGGAAGAAGTATGACCAAGTCCATTGCGGAAATGTAGATTTTGTGGTACCAGTGGAGAAAGGAAGAAGGGTCAGTGGACACCATCTGGGCTGAGACAATGGGCTAGAGCTGAATTTGGATTCACCAGCATAATGATACTGACTTAAGCCAAGAACGAGATGACAATGTGTTGAGGAGCTCTGTCAAATGACCAGAGACGAAACTGGCACCCTAAGGACCACCAGGATTTAGGGTCAGGGTAAAGGAAGAAGCCTGGAATGACCTTGAAGCAGCAGATACTTGCGTAAGAGGGAAAGCAGGACAGGGGGTGGTTGGTTGCAGAAGCTTTTCATGAAACATACAGTGGTCAACAGTGAGTTTGAGAAACATTGAATTTAGCAAAACAAACAAACAAACACAACCCATGAAATTTGGTGTCAATTGTTTTGCAAGCTGCAAATAAGGGCAAGCTCTGGTGGTGTAGTGCCTAAGGCATTTGACTACTAACCAGAAGGCTGGCAGTTCAAACCCACCAGCTGCTATTCGGAAGGAAGGTTGGGCAATCTACTTCCGTAGTGATACCACCTCGGAAACCCAAGGAGGGGCCGCTATGAGTCGGATCCGACTCGATGGCAGTGAGTAATAAGGGAAGCCAGATACCAGGACATTATGGTCTAAATGGGAGATTAGAAAGGGCAGATCACAAATCTACACCATATCTTCAAGAAATTGGATGTTATTGCTATTTGTAGTTGTTGTGTGCCCTTGAGTCGATTCTGACTCATGACAACCCTATACGACAGAATAAAACTACTCCATAGAGTTTCCTAGGTGGAAATCTTTACAGGAGCAGATCTCCAGGTCTTTTTGTCTGTGGAGCCATAGAACTGAAATGGTTTGATGCAAGAGAAAGCAAGTGCTCGTACTGAATGAGAGTGTCAATGATACTGTCCAATCACCCTCTAAAACTCTTGTACTAATTAACAAACTAGCTCTAGAACAGCCACTAACAGCATTTTTTTGCAATGATGGAAATGCTAACATAATCCAGTATGGTAGCCTCTAGCCATCTGTGGCTACTAAACACTTGAAATGTGGCAAGTGCAACTGAGCAACTGAATTTTGAACTTTGCTTGATTTTATTAAATTAAATTGAAATAGCCGCATGTGGCTAATAGTTGTCATGTTTTACAGCACAGCTATAGAAGACTCATTCCCACGACTGTCCACCAGTATATAACACCCAATTCTTTAATTTAGACTTCTATTAAATAAAAGGTAACTCCTTATTTTAATT